CAGGACAGCTGTGCCCTTCCATAGCCTGTCTCTGGCAAAGCTGTTGAAGAAAGTATCCTGGGCTGTAATAAAACATTGGTTATAGTAAATATTTTTTTTCCTCCCTAAAATTTTGTCCTGAGAGTCTACAATTTAATATTAGATAACCAGAGTAAGTTTAGTGAAGTAGCAACTAAATCTCATACACCAAAATCAAATATATGCAAAATCAATATACAGAAATCAATTGTATTTCCATATATTAGCAATGGACAACTGGAACTTGAAATTTAAAATAACACTTACAATTGTATCAAAATATGGCATGCTTAGAGGGTAAATCTGACAAAGGATCTGCACACTGAAAACTACAGAACATTGCTAAGATAAATTAAGGAAGACAAATAAATGGAGAGATATACCATGTTTGTGGATTGGAAGACTCCATACTGTTAAAATGTTAATTCTGCCAAAATTGGTCAATAGATTCAATGTAATTCCAATTAAAATCCCAGATAGCTTTTATTTTTTTATTTATTTTTTTATTGGGGAATTGGGGTGATGGGAACAGTGCTGGGGAATTGGGGTGATGGGAACAGTGCTGGGGAATTGGGGGAAGGGGAACAGACAAGTTGCTGTCGTTTTGTTCTTCAGTCTAGTTGTGGAGGACGTTGCTTCACTGGCCCAAGCTGGCACCATCATTGCGCTCCTCCCGGGCGAGGCAGATCAGTCGCCGGCTTCTGGACGGCTGCTCACTGCGGCTGCTGGCCGCTCACGCTGGCTGCTGGCTACACATGGCAGCCCATGGCAACCCACTGCCACAGGGACTGCAGCCTCTGCCATCGCCGGCGACTCACGGCAGCCCAGCTCTAGGTGGAGCTGTTGTTCAGCATCTTAGCTGTAGAGGGCAGTGTCACTGGCCCTCACATGTGGGATCCGAACCGGGGCCCTCCGGCGTCCCAAGCGAGCTCCTAACCATTGCGCCACTCGGCCGGCCCTGATAGCTTTTTTTTGTTTGTTTGTAGAAATTGGCAAGCTGATTTTTCATGTGGAAGTTCAAAGGATTGGATCAGGAATATCTCAAACCAACTTTAAAAAAGAACAAAATTGGAGGACTTATACTACCTGATTTCAAGAATTATTATAAAGCTGGGCCGGCTGAGTGGCGCATTGGTTAAGAGTTGGCTTGGGACGCCAGCTCTGAGCAGCAGGGCCCCGGTTTGGATCCCACATGAGGGCCAGTGATGCTGTGCTCTCTACAGCTAAGATGGTGAACAACAGCTCGACCTGGAGCTGGGCTGCCATGAGTAGCCTGTGACAGTGTAGGCTGCAGTGGGGCTGGCCGGCAGCTGGCGTGAGCTTTTGAGAGCCACCGTGAGTGGCGGTCCAATGGCCGGCAAGTGACTGCCTCACCTGGGAAGAGCGCAATGATAATACCAACATGGGCCAGTGAAGTGACATTCTCCACAACTAGACTGAAGAACAAAAGGATAGCAACTTGTCTGTTCCCCTTCCCCAATTCCCCAATAAAATCTTAAAAAAAAAAATATATATATATATATATATATATATAAAATAAAGCTATAGTAATCAAAACATAAAGACAGAAAACCAGATCAGTGCAACAGAATAGAGTCTAGAAATAGACCCAAATATACATGGTCAATTGATTTTTCTTTTCTTAAAAAAAATTTTTTTTTTCTTGCTCAATTGATTTTTCAATTGTGTAAAGGCAATTCAGTAGAGAAAGGATAGTCTTTTAAACAAATGCTGTTGGAACAATTGGATACCCACATTCAAAAAATGAACTTTGATCTACATCTCACACCATATACAAAAATTAACTCAAAACGTATCATAGGTCTCAATAAAATTGTTAATGCATAACCTCAATCTAATAATGAGCAAACATCAGATAAAATGAAACTGAGAGATATTATACAAAATAACTGGCACATGCTCCTCAGGAAAGACTGAATTACTATCCCAGACTGAGGAAACTAAGAAGACATAACAAGTAAATGTAACGTGGGATCCAGGATTCAATCCTGTACAAGGAAAAGGACATTAGTGGAATAACTGGTGGTGTCTGAATAAGGTCTGTAAATTACTTAACAGTATTGTATCAATGTTAATATCCTGGTTTCAATAATTGTATTATGATTGTAGAATGGTAACATTAGGAAATATAGGGAGAAAGGCATATGGAATCCCATGTACAATTTTTGCAAATCTAAATTTGTTATAAAATAAAAATAATTTAATGGATTGACTTAAATGCAAAACCTAAATCCATAAAACTTCTAGAAGAAAACGTAGGAGAACATCTTTGTGACCTTGGATTACACAAAGATTTCTTAAATAGAACACCAAAAGCATGAATCATAAAATAAAAACTTGATAAACTGGACATCTTCAAGATTTACAACTTCTGCTCTTTGACAGACACTGTTAATAGAATGAGAAGACAAGCCACAGACTGGAAGAAAATATTTGTTAACCATCTACCTGATAAAGGATTTGAATCCAGAATATGAAAAGAACTTTCAAAACAACTCAATTTTTAAAATGGGCAAATGGTTTCAACAGACACTTAACCAAGAAGATATATGGATGACAAATAAGCATGTGAAAAGATGCTCAATATTATTAGTCATTATGAAAATGCAAATTGAAACCACAACGAAATATCACTACATATGTATTAGGATGACTACAATTTAAAAGAATGACAGACAATAAACGACACTGCAAAATTTTAAAAAAAGAAAAGAATGACTACACCGAGTATTGGAGGGGATACATTGAAACACTGCTGACAGAAATTTAAAATGATGCAAACACTTTGGAAACCAGTGACCCAGCCATTCACTCCTAGGTATTTACCTAAGAGAAAATGAAGGATATGTCCATACTAAGATTTATGCATGAATGTTCATAGCAGCCTTATTTGTAAGATAGCCCCAAACTGGAAACAACCAAATGTCTATCAACAGGTGAATGATAAACAAGTTGTGGTATATCCACGCAATAACATACTACTCAGCAATAAAATAGAATGACCTATTCATACATGTAACAACATGGATGAATCTCAAAATAATTATGATGAATAAAAGAAGCCAGACACCACACCCCTTCAAGGGCATGTACTGTATGATTCCTTCCACTTACATAAAATTCTAGAAAATGCAAACTAGTGACAAAAGCAGATTAGTGGTTTCCTGGGGATGGGAGGGTGGGAAAAGAGGGATTACAAAGGACCATGAGGACACTTTTAGAAGTGATGGTATGTTCACTCTTGATTGTGGTAATATTTTCATGATTGTAAACATCAAATTGTACACCTTAAATATGTATGGCCTATAGTATGTCAATTATTCCTCAATAAAGCTGTTTAATCAAATACATTCAGATATCAAGCACAAATTATCATTTAAGTTCTGAGAATGCCAATAGATTCAGGATTCACCAAAAAGGCCAGCCCCATACCTGGAACCTGAAGATGAGGAAATCCTGAGTGGAATCGTCAATCATTGGTAATACTTTAGAAACATCTTTTTCTGCCATCTCTTTTCATCTCTCTTCATCTCAGGTCCTAGCCAGATAGGTGGTTTCTGGAAGGAGCCAGGAGACCCAGTGTGGTGTGGACATGACTCTGGGAGCTGCCCTGGCTGGTCGCCCTCTAGCTGCCTTTGGAAAGAGTTGAGGTGAGACTTGGGGTATTTTCAGAGCTCAGTAAGAGGAGGTGGAAGAGAAGAAATGAAGAAAACAGAAGGAGCTGGAGATGAGATGGGGAGAATAACTATTCAGAACTATGTAATCCAAGGTCTGGAAGGGAGCTATGAGAACACATGCTCAATAATTCTTTGTGGATAAGAACACCAAGATCTTGACATTTCAGTCACAGAATTGGGGTTTTAATCTGTTTCTCAATTTCCCATCTACACCTATTTCCATCACCTATTTCCAGTATGCCAAGTGGTCACTGTTTATGGTATATGAGATGATGGCTTCCATTTCATTCAACATTTGCAGAGTACTTATTTATAATAATAGGATAAATTCCAGGGTCTGAAGGACCTCAGTCTAGCAGAGACAGATCTACATACAGAGGTGACTTTAATAATAAAAGTATGATTGTAATAAGTGCTATAAATGAGGTGCAAACGACATAGTATGAAAATACACAGGGGGAAAAACCTTCCTATCTGGAAAAGAGATTTGGTGATAGAAGGGAATCGTGGAAGTCCTCCCCAGAATGGCAATAAACAACCTTTAGTAGGTGCTCAATAAATGTTAGTATCCCTCTTCTCTTCACATTATGACTCCAGCCTAACTTTCCTTGTCACACCAAACCCCTCTGTTTCCGAACAGCATGACGTTTAATGCCATAGTGTTTTTGTTTTGCCACAGTGCTTTTTGCATCCTAAGTTCGGTCCTAAAATGGAATGTCCTTCTCAGAATGAGCGAAAGGTGACATGAAATGGAGCTCGGAAAAATATAAAGCACATTAGGTATAATATATAGCCCGAGAGAATATAAAGCATATGGTTACATTAAGCGCACGAACTATGGAGGCCAGCCTCATGCTCTTCATCTGCAAAAAGAAAATAATAATAAGATTCATTTCATAAGGCTGTTGAGTGGATTAAAAGGACATTCTCACAAAGCTTTTAGCATCTTGTCTGGCACAGAACCAGTGCTCATGGAACACTAGCAATATTTGTGGGTGCGCAGCGACCTTCTCCGCCTGCCCCGCCCAGCGCAGGCCGTCCCTTGACCGCCCAGTCAGCGTCCACGCCTCCCAGCGCGGCGTCCGTGCCGCCATGGAGCCACCTCCCACCCTCTCGACACCCGGGTTTACCAGAGCCGGCCCAGCTCAAGGTACCCGGTTCACCGGGCCGCGCCCGACCTGCCTGCGCCCTCTGACTGGCTCTTATAGGTGCCTGTCATCCTAGGCCGCTCAGGATTGGTCGGCTCTGGGGTGGTGGGCGGGCCTTTGGGAGCGTAGGAAGGGCGGGGACCCGGATGTGTGTGGTGGCGGCGGCTGAAGAGCTAGAGGGCGAGCTGAGAGGCCTATGGATGAGGAGGACGCGGCGGCCCCGGTAGGCGGGGATCGGGGGCGGGGTCCCGGAGGTCTCGGGTCTCCCTGGAGTCTGAGGCGGGAGGCGGGGGTCCTGGACTGGGGCTCCGCGGTCATGGGCGGGGCCTTGTGCTCTGGACTCGGGGCTTTACCCCCTCAGGACCCTCAGCCCGGTGCGGGGCCTGGGGAGACTGGGCGTAGTCACACTGACGGGCAGGCCCCCTTGCCCTCGGGTCTTGTCTGAGTGACCAGGCCGTGCCACGGGTGGAGGCGGGGCCCGGTGCGGTCGCTGCTTGCCGGTGCCATAGCTGTGGGGTTCTGAGCAAGCAGATGCTCCTAGGTCTGAGGTGCCAGTATCTACCTCAGGTCGGAAGACCTGGGCTGCCCCTCAGATGCCTATCTTTCTAGGCCACGTGGTGACTTGTAGCTACTAAACAAGGGTCTAATACGCGCATTGGGATTGATGTCAGCCCAGCTAAGGCATACTAAGCACCTACTGTGTGCAAGGCACTGTCAGGACTTGATGGAACTCCTGTCTCAGAGTTTGTGGGATGGGAAAAGAAAAGTACCTCACCTTTCTCACTTTTGGCTCCCAGGAAAAATTCATTCATTCATTCATTCATTCATTCATATGTTAGCACAGTTGGTGGTTTAAATACAGGAATCATCCTACTCCTCTCCAACTTGACTGCTACCATGTTAGTGGATGCCATCTCTCATTTGAACTGGTGCGACAGCCTAACTAATTGTTCGCCACTTTCGCGCCGCTTATGATCAGTGCTCCAACCAATAGTCTGAATGAGCTTTGAGACCTGACAAATCTTAAGATCATATCATTTCCTTGCTTAAAACCCTCCAAAGGTTTCCCATCACACTTGGAGTAAAATACAAACTCCTCACTATGCTCTAGGGCCATTGCCTTCTTCTCACCCTCTTGTATATTCTCTCTCATATTCCCTGCACACCAGCCACCCTAGCTTTTCTATTTCTCTACCACGCCAGCTCCTTTCTACCTCAGGACCTGTGTCCTGGCTGTCCCCTCTACTTGGAGTGCTCTTTTTTGGGCTTGTCACATGCCTAGTTCCTTCTCATCTCAATTCAAATGTCATAGTGTTCACCCCATATTCTTTATCACCTCACTTTGCTTTTTCCTCCACTGTCTAACATTCTCATGTCTGTTTATTGTCTGTCATGCCTCCTTACACTAGAATGGAGGCCCTATTAGAACAGGAATCCCATCCATCTTATTCACAGTGTGTCCCTAGCACCTAGAACTGTGCACATAGTAGGAGCTCAATACATGTTGGATGAAAGGATGAGGATGGGGATCGTCGAGGTCAATCTAGGCACCTGACTTCAAGTCCAGTGCCTTCTCCACATTCTGGGTCAAATAGTCTGAGGTGCTTTGCTCAGAGCCCTGCTTCCTCCTCAATCACCTTCTCCCCATCTGCAGGTTTGTTCTCATGAACAAGATGGATGACCTCAACTTGCACTACCGGTTTCTGAATTGGCGCCGGCGGATCCGGGAGATACGGGAGGTCCGGGCTTTCCGGTATCAGGAGAGGTTCAAGCACATTCTTGTAGATGGAGACACTTTGAGGTGAGTTTAGGGTTTTTCCGCGGTTTCCCTTCTGTACCAGATCATAGAGATGAAAAAGAACTTTTTCAGAGGCAGAGGACTGTCTACACTGCACTGGGACGGGCATGCTATTGACCTTGAAGTCCATTCTGAGTGGAGCAGTGTGTGCTGCTTCCCCCTGCACTCCCTCTACCTGTGTCTTGGTCACTATCCTGGTCCACACTGGAAGCAATCATGTGAGAGATGGAGGCTGCTGGGGTCTCAGGAGTTGCCCACGTGCCTTGTTGAGAGGACGCCAGTGGGTCTGTGGGGTGTCTAGGTCTCCTTCTGCCTGTGTCTCACGGGTTGCCTTAGGTGAAGAGTGGCTATTTCAAAGGCAGTGGATTTCCTGTTAGGGGAAGAACAGTTATGTAGTGCATCCTGCCCACCACCTTCTAACCCTTTGGTTTGTGTGTTTGTTTATTTTGTCTACTGGCTTGAACCCCTTCCTGACTCCTTCAGAGCCTTACTCTCTCACAAAGTTGTCACTGAAGGTGGGAAAGAAGTAGTGCTATTTAGCCTGAAGACAAGAAAGCTGAAGAGTGGGAACTGAATAACTCTTCCAGTCTACGAAGATCTTTGGTACAGAGGATAGAGACCAGCCATTCTCCAATTCCACTGAGGACAGAGCCAAAGGAAAAGGGCTGAAGCTGCAGCATGAGGGATTGAAGTTAGACAGGGTTGTGAGACCCCCTAATAGGCAACTAAGGGAGGCTCTGCTTTCTTTCCCCCTGGAAATGAAGAAGCCAAGCTTGCGTTGATCTGGTGTGGGTTGGACCTTGACTGCAGGTAGCAGGAGGAGTGGGTGACCTCAAGTATCATGTTATGGTATCTGTGCAGATGTCCTGAAGTGTTGCCTAATGGATTCTCCTCTGTGTTGGCCTTTGCAGGGTGGGGGTTGGGAATGTTGAGGCCCTCCCCACAACTCCTGGGCTAAGCTGCTAATGGATTTCCCCACTCATTCTTCCTTCAGTTACCATGGAAACTCCGGTGAAGTTGGCTGCTATGTGGCTTCTCGACCCTTGACCAAGGACAGCAATTATTTTGAGGTAGGCAGAGCAGGGGGTGAGATCCAAGGAGCTTTTTTACTAGATTCACGGTCTGAGCCTTTCATTTTCCATCAGGGCTGTCCTGTTGGCTGGGAGAAAAGGGCGCAGGATAGCATGGTGCCTAATTTGAGAATAGATGCCCTGGAGTCCTGTTACTCTGTCCCTTCTGCTTTTCTCTCCCTCATCTAAGTAGACTTTGACCGATATTCCAGACTTTGACCCATATCCTTTCCCACCCCTAAACCAAGCATCTACTTCATCTCCTATCTCTTTCTATGTATTGGAAATTACTTTTTTTTTTTTTTTAGCTGAGCCATCCTGCCACCTGTTGGCAGCTCAGCGGCTGCTCAACTTGGGCTGGGACTCGAACCACTGTTGCTCAGAGCTCAAACTCTTGAGCGAGCTCTTAACCAACTAAGCCACTCAGCCGGCCCTGGAAATTACTTTTTAAGTAGTCAAAGTAGGCCCTCGCTCTCCCAGTTCTCCCTCTGAGTGTCCTCTGTCCTTCTCTGATTCCCATGTCTATTGTCTCAGCCCCCTTTGATGTCTAACTCCCCTTTCCTGCACTCCTACCAGTTCCCATTTCCCATCCCTGCTGACTGCCCTGCTCTCCTCCCTCCAGGTGTCTATTGTGGACAGTGGGGTCCGCGGCACCATTGCTGTGGGGCTGGTCCCTCAGTACTACAGCTTGGATCACCAGCCTGGCTGGTTGCCTGACTCTGTAGCCTACCATGCTGATGATGGCAAGTGAGTTGTCTCCTGTGGAACCTGGCCCCCTTCCTATGGATTTGGGGATCTTAGATATAAAGGACTGCCTCAGAGTAGCTTTTGCCATTCCTTCACCTATCTTGGGGCATTTTCATAGACTTCTGATCAGGACAGAAAGGTAGCCTGATGGCTACACTGGGAGATTTGCAGACTTAGAGGGAAGGGTGGAACTCACTCTAGGACATAGGTAAGATGCCGCCACAGCGTGGGAGCAGCAAGATAAAGCCTCAGTATCGGCACTGGGGAGAAGCTTGGAGGCCCAGCTTGGGTCCTGTGTCTGTGCTGCTCTGTCCATAGGCTGTACAATGGCCGAGCTAAGGGCCGCCAGTTTGGGTCAAAGTGCAACTCTGGAGACCGGATTGGCTGCGGCATTGAGCCTGTGTCCTTTGATGTGCAGACTGCTCAGATCTTCTTCACCAAAAATGGAAAGCGGGTAAGTGGTAATCCCAAGTGGGACTTAAGCAGTTGAAGCTGTTTAAGAATTTGTGGGGGTGGTAGGAGTCTGCTGGTTGGGGCTTGCCCAGGGAACCGCAGGCTTAGTTCCCATCTCCTTTAGTCCAGTGTCAGGTTCTCCTGAAGTCTCCTGTGTGTGGGAGAAGACATTTCCCTTGCCTAGGGGAAACTGGGACATTATCCAGATGAGAGATGCAGAGGGGCAGTTAGAGCAGTGGAGGATGAGCAGGAATTGTAGGGGACAAAATTGGGTGATTTGGGGGAGGGCTTTGAGCAGGAAAAAAAGAGGAGATTATGGCCTGGCTGCGTAAGCTGGAGGTCCTCTTTGGATTTTCCACTTGAATACTTTTGAGGATATGTCCTTTCTGTGTTTTATTTTCCTTGTTTCACTTCTCTTTCCCTCTTCAGAGAGAGACTAGTACTGATGAAGAGATGGGATAAGAGCACATAGCAGAGAGAGCCATGCAGCTTTTTTCTTTTCCTACCCAGCTCCACCTCCCATCCTGGGAAAATTGCTTCTTCAGGCTTTGGCTGAGAGGTCCTGCTCCCTCAGCATCTAGACCTCAGCACTTTCCTGCTCCAATGCACACTCACTTGTACCAAAAGTCTTTGGCAGCAAGTTGAGAGACTTGTGTTTGCCTTCTAGCTATGTGGATACCTTGCTCGGCCAGGAGTACTTAGCAGCTTTTTAAATTTTTTGTACCTCTATTTTTCTGTCTATCAGTGTGTGTGATAATTATTTGTTGCATCATCTCAAAAGTACTCTTGTGAGAATTAGAAGAGTTATAGAAAAGTGAGCCAGAGGGCAGCTCCTTCCTTCCCTCCACTGCAGGTGGGCTCCACCATCATGCCCATGTCCCCAGATGGGCTGTTCCCAGCAGTGGGCATGCACTCCCTGGGTGAGGAGGTGCGGCTGCATCTCAACGCTGAGCTGGGCCGTGAGGACGACAGTGTCATGATGGTGGACAGTTACGAGGATGAATGGGGCCGGCTCCATGATGTCAGAGTCTGTGGAACTGTAAGTAAGGGTCAGTGGGGCAGTAAGGAGTCGGGCGGGGAGGGCTGGGCAGAACACCTGTGGGCCATGTAAGTATGTCTGAATTACTTAGAGTTGGGGGTGAAGACAGTGTCTTTTGTTGGGTTTTGGGAAATGGGAATTTTGGCGGGGTGGCCTGGGGCCTTGACATGATTCTGTGAGTCCAGATCTGTTTTCTCTTTTGTGTTGGTTCTCTTTCTTCCCTTCTCCTTCATTTGAGATCTTTACTCTCAGAACAAGTAGTAGTTCTCCTTTGCTTTCTTTGCTTCCTTCAGCGCCTATTGCCCTGCACACCTGCCTTTGAGAGGCTGGGGCTGATTTTGGGAGGCAGCGTGCCTGAATTCCCCTTTGGGCTTGATCTCAGCTCAGCTGGCTCAGGCTTCTCATTCACCGTGCTGTGGGGCAGGTGTGGCCACAAGTTTCATTCATGTGGGGGAAGGTTCTTTGAGATCTTTTTTGAGCAAGTGTCAATGTCGATCTCTTCTATCTTCCCCCTACATTTTATAGAGAATGAGAATAGAGGCACATGAAGATTTAGTGAGAATCCTTGACCCTCAAAGCTTGCCTTTTTTTGGCAGGGTTTATTAGTGATACATTCTTAGGGAAGAGAACGGGCCTAGCTGAGGTGGGAGAGAGAGGCATGGACTCCTGGTATCAGTGATACCTTCTCGGGGAAGAGAACTGGCATAGCCAAGGTGGGGGTGCAGAGAGAGAGAGAGAGGCAGACAGACAGACATAGAGAAAGAAACAGAGCGAGTGAGAGGGAGGGAGAGAGAGAGAGAAAGCTTGCTTTTTTATACATCTTATTATCATACCTGCTTTAGTCTTTCCCTTGAGAGAGGGAAAGTCTTCATATCTACCCTCTCTACCTCGTGCTGGAATGGGAGTGAATGGATGCTGGGTCAGAGGTCTGGCTCTGACCTCCAGTGGGCTGCTTAGGCCTCCCACTTTGAATTGTCCCTCTGCTGCCCTCTTGCACCCAGCTCAACCTTTTCTCCACCCTCTGGCCTTCTCACCCCAACCCAGGCTGTGTTTTCAGCTCAGCCTTTGATAGCAAAACAGAAGCAGTAGGGGGTGGGAGTGGATTATGCGCAAGGCCCCCCTTCTGGAGTTCAAGGTGAGTCAAACTCAACATGTGCCCTCCTGCTGCTTCTGACATTCTGCACCCCTTTCTGACAGTGGGGTCCAAGGACTACAATGGCTATGAGCCAGGAGGCCTCACATGCCCACTCCTTGACCCTTATCTCTTTTTTCCCTTTCCACCATCATTTTGACAACATCTACAGAGTTGAACTTGGGACTGAGCCAGGGCGATGTTCCAACTCTCATCCCTGACCTCTCCTCAAGAGTGTTTTCCTGGCATCCTTTCCGTGCCTGGACCTGTCCCCACTCTGCTCCCAGCTCCTCCCAGGCAATCTTTTCTAATTGATGCAGAATCCTGTAGACATTTATAAATAGCTTTCCTTCCTTTCTGCCCTCCCCGCAATGCCCTCAGGCCATGTGTTGAATAATTTTTTCTTTCTTAGACATAAGCTGTTGAGTTTGGCTCTTCTCTCAGACCCTAACCCCAGCTTGTGACAGTGGCAGGGTGGGAACACTACTCCCTGAGCACTTGCTCCTCTGGGGAAGATTTGGGCATGCGCCTCCTGAGGGACATATGCCTCTCTTCTAGTCTTGCCAACTACCCCATCTTTCAAATGATGGTGACTCACTCAGTTTCTTCCATCCTTTTGGCCCTCCATCCCTACTTGTCTCTTGGCCTCCTCCCTTTTGTCCCTCTGACTGTATTTCTGATTTAGCGATCAGAGTTGTGTCAGCCTGAAGGAGCCAGGGAGAGGTCATTTGGGACATGCCTCTGCCTCCTGTTTCCATGCCTTGCACAGCTGTTTCTCCTCTTTGTCCTTGTTTTTTCCATTCTGCACTGTGGGGAGCCCTTACCTGGGACTTCAGACTTCTGTTGTTGAAGCCTATTTCTACTGCCCTGGGCGATATTCCCAGGAGAGCACCTTTTAGAACCATAAAGGTTTGGGAGAGGCTTTGGTGCCATCCAGTCCAGGGTTTCTCAGTGCAATGGTTGTGGGCATTTTGGGTGAGACAATTCCTTGATGGACAGGATGCTAGTGTCCCCTCCCCTGGTCATTGTGACAGCTGCACATTCCTAAACATCCTCTTGTTGTGCTGTTGATGAAAAAGCAGTCCCAGAGGAACGTGGAAAGACTTTTTGAAATGTCAAAAAGTGAATTACCGGTAGTAGCAAAACTAAGCCCAGATACTCATTCTTTGACCCCCTACCCACTGCCTTTCCACTGTCTCATATATGCTTTACCTTCTACTCAAGCCTGCTCTCCTGTAGCCAGTCATCTCCCCTCCTCCTGTCCTCTTCTCCTAAGATGAATCCGGACTTCTTGGGCTTTAATTCCCACTTGCTTGGGATTCTCCTGTCTAATTTCTTCAGCCAAGGTCCTTCTAGGTGAGTGTATTTTGCTGCCTTGGGAGTTCTTTTACTCCTAGCCCTGTCTCTCAGTTTTAGAGTCTCAATTATCTTCTCTTGTCCCTTCTTACTGGTTTTCTTTCCATAAAAAAGAGCAAATTCAATTCCAGACCTCTTTTTTTCCCTTTGACATTTCATTATAAAAAATTTCAAACATACAGAAAAGTTGACAAAAAAAGTGAACACCCATATACCCACTACCTAGATTGAACAGTTGTCAATTTTTAGTCATGTTTGTTTAATCTTTCTTGAGTGGAATTCTTCTGTTTCCTGTGGCCTCAGTTTCCCCTCCTAAAGATTCCCCACTCCCAGAGCTCTGTGGGTGTTGAAGAATTGCTGCTGCGTTGCTCAGGGATGGGGGTGTTGCTCCTCACCTCATCCCTGCCCCAAGCCTTGCAAAGTGAGGTAATGAGTGGAGGGTGGGGGACAGTTGGTTAAGCTAGGGGATTAGACTCATTCTGTCTTTGTTTCCTTTTCATAGCTCCTCTGACAACTCCTTAGTGACAAGGCAACAGCTTCAGTATACAAAGGGGGGTGATTGAGGCCTCACCCTCCCAGGGGTCCTTCATGGACCCAACCCAGGAGGAGACCGTGTTGGGGCCTGAGCCTGCTGGTGGGAGGCATGTTCTTGGTTCCTGTTTCAGCTGCTTTTAGGCCCTCAGGGCACTGAGCCTTCACTTGCTCCTGTCAAGAGGGATTAGGGTCTCTGCTGGCAAGAGAAGGAGGGCGGATGCCAGCAGGAGCACAGAGCTGAGAAGGTGCTACTGGTACTGGGAGGGGGTGGAGTACAGTAGGATCTCTGCACTCTGGTCTGCAGCCTCCTCTCTGTGGCATGGAGTCCTCGTTTGGCCTCTCAAGGCTTTGGTTGTGTGTGGAAGGAGGCGTGGGAGGCAGGGGGCTTGAGAGCCTCAAGGAGAGGGTTCCCCCTCCGCCCACCGAAGATGTAAAGGAACATTCCTGCTGATTGGGCATCGTTTGAAGAGAAACACTGGGAGGAGGACAGTTGGTCAGTTGGGGTAGAGTCACCTGGGCAGTGGTCATCTGTCCTGGGGAAACTGCTGAGTTCTGGGGGCCTAACGACCCATTCTAGTGGGAGGTAAAGGCTGAGATGAAAGATCATTTCTTTCTTTGTGACTGGCAGTTCCAGTCTATTATAGCTTTGGGGTGACTTAATGCTTAGGGAGCACTGATATGTTGGCATGTTCCAGCATAACCCCCATTTCCTGATGTAGGGAAAGGCAGAAATGTGTATTGATCACCTACTGGGTGTCAGACTAAGCACTTGACACTCACTTCATTTAGTCTTCTCACCTGTTTTTGGAGATGGAGGTAGTAGTATCCCGATTTTACTGATGAAGAAACAGGCTTAAAGAAGTGAAAGCCACTTGCTCAAGGTGAGTGGCTAGTAAGTAATTGGAGTTAGGATTTGAACTCAGGTCTGTTTGATTCTCTTTCAAGTTAAGAGGCATCTGAGGCACAGATGAGAAAGGACCAGCATCAAGCTTCTAGCAACTCAGACTCTAGGGGCTAAACCTCCCATCTCTGTTCCTGACAGCCCTAGTCTAAGGGAGGGAGGAGCAAGGGCCTGTCAGAAGAGGCCAAACTTCCTCCCACCCCACCCTTCTTAGTGCTCTGAGAAGACTCTAGAGGGCTTGAGGGGACTTTGCCCATGAGCAGGAGACTGGATCCAAGAGGAACAGATGAATTGGGGTGGCTTCCACCCTGAGAGGTGGGTGGTTCCTCTCTTGAAGAGGGCAGATTGTGCAGGGATCTAGTCTTCCAGGCCATCAGCAGTCTGTCTGAACTGCTTGCTCTACGGAGTGGGGAGTGGGTTTTAGGTTTTAGAGTCCCGGGTTAGTGTTTCATTTTCCTCGCCTTTGAGCTTAAGGAAGTGTCTCCACCCTATTGGTAGACAAAACTGCAGCTCTGCCCTGCTCAGCGCTGAAGTAGAGGGAATGGTAGGGCGGGTTTTTCCCAAGGATCAGGGTCTGGATCTACTGTCTCTTGGCTCTGGAAGTGGAGAACACTATGTTTCCTACACCGAGGCCAGTTGGATGGAGTGTGTCAAGGGCAGCTGTGGGATCCCCCACCCAGTTCTGCAATGCTGGGCGGAGAGGGTGGGCTGGGGGCTGCTCGGGCTGGGTGGAGTGGAAGCTCATTAATGTGCATCAAGCCGCACCCCTCCCAGCTTGTGGGGAGAGATGCACAGGAGGAACCCAGGCTGAGCAGAGAACACGCAGAGGACCATAAACAGAATTCAAAAAACATGGGCCTTAATTAGTGCCCAGAAATTCAGAAAATGATGCGGGGGACCCCTCTCTAATGAAAGAAAGCAGTGTGATATACTGGAGAACATGGGGCTAGGAGTGTAAATAGAAAAGAGCCATTATAACCTGAGATGTTTAAGGCTCTAGCTGTAGGAATGAGAGAAGAGCCAGCCTGGGTGTGGATTTATATGGTCTCCATACATCTCTGGCTTTCCCCCTGACCCCCCACCCCCACCCCACCTCTACCTCTAGTTCTCTTTGGTGAGGAGGGGAGGATGGACTTGAGGTGGCAGGACTTTGGGGATCCAGAGCTGAGAAGTAGATGAAGTTCCTCTGTTTCTTCTCTGAAGGAGTTGGTGAGGATGCAGGACCTGCCTGTGCTGAAGACAGAGGCTTCTATGCTAGTGCAGGCGAGCATAATTCCTTTCCTGTTCAGGCAGGAGCTCTGAGGGGTGAGAGGCCTGTGTCCCAGGGCTTGCCAGGGATAAGTGGAGAAGGTCCTCAGGGAGTGTGTTTTCTTTAGTGCTGGAGGCGTGGGAAGGTAGAAGAAAGTCTTGAGGGGCAGTTTGGCTAATTAAAAAGGGATTAAGGAATCCCAGGTGATGCTGAGGGTGGGGGAAGGAGGGATGGGGCTGAGTCATAGGCCCACTATTACCATGACAACTGATAAATAGATCCTCCTAGATTGGGGGTTGCCGCCCCATCATGCCCAGGCAGGACAATTGTGGGACTGAAGAGCCCCAAGAGCCCATCAGTCATCTCCCCTCTCCTCCCTCCCTCCACACCTCTGCTCCAGCTTGAAAGAGACACGAGAGGCTGGGAACAGGAAAGCCTGCCTTCCTAGCTTCGTTCTGCCTGCTCCCCTCCCTCACATTAAACTAAGGAGTAGAGCTGGCCCTTCTGGGCTCCCTGACTCCCCTCGGCACCTCCCTGACCCCAGCTATAAACAACTTTGTTCAAAACCAAGTAAAACAAAGACCTTGAAAAATTATGTCAGTCCCTTCCCAGGCCAAATTGGCTTCTGAGCTTGTCTCCTTTCCCCCAACCATCTTGAGTTGGCACCTAACCTGTTCCCATTAGGCCCCCTGTGGAAGTTGTCAGGTTTCTTCTCAGCCTAGTCTTCCCTTCTCCTTTTCTCTGTTCAGGAGCCCTGGATGGACCTTTCCCAGCAGGGTTATTCAGGGAAGTGATAACATAGGCTAGAGACCCCGAGTGTGGTTCCCAGCACTCTGCCATCTGGATTGTTGTGTTTGCTCTCCCCGTCTTCCTAAAGCAAGGAGCAGGCCTTTGGCTGAGTAGGCAGGTGGGAGCAGCATTCAGCAAAGGGCTCAGCTCTCTTGCTTATGCTACCACCTTCGCTACCCCCACCCCACATCTGTTCTCCCATGCCTGCCTAGAACATTGAGGCCCACACTGTATACCTGTAGGATCCTTTCCCTTTCAGCCGGAGTTTTTTGTCAGACACAGGAAACTGGTCCCTAGACTACCTGGGACTGGGTTTCCAGGGCGGGTATCAGCCTGCCTCCTGTTCCCCTGCACTTCCCCCACAGCTGCTGGAGTACTTGGGCAAGGGCAAGAGCATCGTTGACGTGGGGCTGGCTCAGGCCCGGCACCCACTGAGCACCCGCAGCCACTACTTCGAGGTGGAGATTGTGGACCCTGGAGAGAAATGCTACATCGCCTTGGGGCTGGCCCGGAAGGTGGGCACCAGTGCTGCTTTTTGCCTGAGCTGCTCAGCCCAGGGGCTGTTGGGATGGTGCTGGGAGCTCTTGGGAAAATCAAGGGGCCAGGCTGCAGAGGGAGGGTCTTAACCTGAGACAACACGATTGTGTATGTCTGCTGTGTAAGGGTACAGACCCCAAATGACCTAGGACCTGAAAGAGTGTTGTGACTGCACACCACACACTGAGCTCTGGATGTGGGGTGGGGGGAAGCCTGCAGCCCTGGCTGGAAAAGCCGAGAGCCCTTCTCACCTTCCCTGCTCCCCCTGCAATTTCAAGTACCTGAAGAAGATGAGGCTGCAGGGGTCGTGAGCAGCCATCTGGGCTGTAGCCTATTTCAGAAGATTGGAGGTTCAGATGTTACTCTCTCCTGTTGTTTTGTGAGTGGTACCACAGATTTGCAATTTTTCTTCTTGATACAGGATTATCCCAAGAACAGGCACCCTGGCTGGAGCAGAGGGTCTGTAGCTTATCATGCAGGTGAGCAGGGGCTGTCCCGGGGAAGCTGGGGTTGTAGAGGATATTGGGGTACAGGGACATCCATCTTCCGGACCCCTCACAAGTGGCTTCCCTCCAGCATCTGGCTGGAGAGACTTTCCCTTGCTGCCATCTACTTGCCTCCCCAAGCTTCTAGTGTTTTCTCCTCATCTGTGTTTTTCCTCCCAGCCCTAAAAGCCAGGGAAGCAGAGCAGGGGCAGGGGATCTGGGCCCTAACTAGGCATTCCAGGCCTCTGAGTTGGCTCCTTCTGCACCCTTCCTGCAGATTCTGCATTTCTTTTTTGGCCGGCTTCATTTCCTTTGGGGCTTTCTTTAGAAAGGACAAGCCATGAGTTCCTGGTCCTACTTCTCCCCCGCCCCTGCTCAAACCCTTTGCCCTCTCTAACCAGCTCCCTGAGGAGTCTCCTCCTAAGCCCGAGCAGTGGACAGACATTGTGTCTTTTTTTTAAATCTGGTGCTCTCTTCCCACTCTGTCTTTTGTATCACCTTGTCTTCTCCCTTCCTTGGGGCCAGAGAGGGAGGTAGGGAAGTGTTAACTTTAAGCCTGGGCCTCTCTGAGGAGTGTCAGCCCCTCCTTCACTGTGTACCCTCTCCCCTGTCTCCAACAGATGATGGGAAGATCTTCCATGGCAGTGGCGTGGGGGATCCCTTTGGGCCACGTTGTTACAAAGGGGACATTATGGGCTGTGGAATCATGTTCCCCCGGGACTACATTCTGGACAGTGAGGGTGAGTGTGGTGTGGGTGGCCAACCAGGCTAGTCGGGTAGAGGGTGGGGGCAGTACCACAGGCGCTCAGGTTTCCTGGCCTTCTAGGTGACAGTGATGACAGTTGTGACACAGTGATCCTGTCCCCAACTGCCCGAGCCGTCCGGAACGTCCGGAATGTCATGTACCTGCACCAGGAAGGGGAAGAGGAAGAGGAGGAAGAGGAAGAGGAAGAAGATGGGGAAGAGATAGAGCAGGAGCATGAGGGCAAGAAGGTGGTGGTAAGTGTGGAGGGTTTGGGGTTGGACTGGGGTTCTCGGGCCTGGGCGAGGGCTGGTATTAGTGGGAATAGAAAGTGGAGCTGCGGTAGGGAAGAGGAAGGTCTGGTGATTCTGTGGGTGTATTCCTGTTCTGAAGCAACTGGAGCCCTGAATTGGGAAGACTGGTTTCCAGCCTCAGGACGCCCTCTTGTGGCCACTTCTTGCATCACCCCAAGTCGCTCTGCAAGTGATGCTGGGAGTTGGAAGCGAGTGGGGTTCAAGCCTGTGTAGCTCCAGCATCCTCAAAGAAGAGGCCAGAGCTGTGTGCTCCACTCTTCTCCCCACCTCCATCCCCAGGTTTTCTTCACTCGGAATGGCAAGATCATCGGGAAGAAGGATGCTGTTGTGCCCTCTGGGGGCTTCTTCCCTACCATCGGAATGCTGAGCTGTGGGGAGAAAGTCAAAGTGGACCTGCATCCCTTGAGTGGCTAGTGACTTCTCCCATACACCTGCCCCTTTACAGGACCAGGTACCCAGCTCCTGACTTCCTTGAAGATTTGTTTACCTGGCAGGCCCCAGGGGTATATAGTCACTCTACCCCAACCAGATCAGGCCCCTGCAAATCCTTTCTGTGCCCATGTTTCAGACCTGGTGCCACCCCTTTGATCAGTCCCTGGGCCTGAGTCCCTGGTTGGACAGGAATAGGCCCAGCCCAAAGAATGATGTTCTATCAGAGGGCCCCACTTGCTGTGGTCAGTGGGCTCCACATGCCCTTTTTCCCATTGGCCCGTGTGAGTAGAGAGGAGTGAGCACCCTGTCTCAGCTGCTGTTTGGGCCTGAGGCTTTATAGAGGGCGGAGCAGAGACAGCCCCTGCCCTATGTCACAGTATTTCTCCTTGCATTTTCTCTTTCTGTCCTCATCGTAAACCAGTTGCTGCTGTCATCCCCCCTGGCTGGGCTAGGGGGCTCTTTTGGGCCCTCTCTTTACTTCCATTGACTGCTGTCCCTAGAAAACTGTTCTAGGGTCTGTTCTTTCTCCGGAGAGCCGGCTTTCTCCCTCGCCACCTGCTCAGGCACCATAGTTCCACAAAGAATCTGAGTCTCCGGTTCCCCAGGCTGGACACACATCAGTGAGTGCCCATTATGTGTTCAATGGCGTGAGAGAGGGGCTGTCAGGTGCGGGGGGCACTGGGACCTTTGCTTCTATCTTCCCCTTGCCATCCTCAGCCTACCCGTGGCACCCTTGTCCCTAGTTTCCTGGGATGCAGGCTGAGACTCCAGAGCATGTCTCTCCTGCTGTGGAGAGGGCAAGATCCCCGAGCCTGCCCCGTGTCCCAGAGGGCAGCTCGGCCCCTCCCTTCCCTTCCTGCCCTACCCCCACCCCCAGCTTACTGCCTGTGCCAGTTGCCTGTTTTGCTTCAGTGTTTGATTCTAGCACTTACATGTGTCTTCCCCCACCAAGCCCTCCTGTCTCCTGCCCCCTTGACCCCTGACCCCCTCCCCATACAGTGACTTCTCCTGGGAGGAAGAGGGAGCAGGAGCTGTTGGCCTTGGTTTGCACAGAGCGGGTAGGGCTTTGGGGAAAGGGGGAGTTGTTGTGCTGCTGGGGCCTCCCCTTGGGCCCTCCCTTCAGGCCCTGCACTATGATGTTTGAAATGTATGTACAGAGATGTTTATACAGCCAATAAAGATGGAGTTTCCGTATTTATCAGCACGGCTGGGACACAGGAGTCCTTTGCCAGTATAGGGCTGGGGACAGGGCTAGAGGTGGGGGCAGCTTGCTCACCAGGACATGTGGACTAATGTGAGGCCAAGGATGGGGACTGTGTATGTTCCATGGACCTGGCTCCAGGCCTGGGATGTCCCCAAGAAATACGGGCACCCCAGGGAGACATGAGGCTTTGCCTTTCCTGTGAACAATCACGACTCCAACTCGGACTAAACGTTATAGAAATTCTTTATTATAGACAAAAATAGACTCTTTTTCCCCCCTTTTCATATGATTCCCACTCTGCTCTCTCTGCTCAGAAGGGAAGGCAGAGGAGGGAGTGCGTTGCTCCCCATACCTTTCCCCTCTCCCTGCCATGCTGGGACCTGCAGCTGGGTGGAGCTGGCTCCTCTCCAGGGCTGATGTTCTGCAGGTGGGGCTGTTCTGATCCCCTCCACAGCTTAACTCCTGATGCCTCCTCACCCTTCACACACGCATCTCTGCCATCTGCTCACGTGCAAGGTCATCTCATGGCCCGTCCACTTAGCTTAGCAGGCAGGGAGTGGGGAAGGAGAGCTGTGTCCCAGGTTGATGTCCACTCCCCATTCCTAAGGGAGGGGCCTGGCTCCTGGGTCTCCTGGGTCTAGGCCAGGAGAAGTGAGGGCTGTGGGGTGCTGGAAGGGGTGCGGTGTTGATGTGGGCTCTGAGCTTGTGGCCTTCCTTCATTTTCTCTGGCCCAGTAGAACTTTGGTTATGAAGGTAACAATGGCGCCTGCAGGCTGATCTGGGTCAAGCTCTGCAAAGAGGTGACACACGTTCTCCCAGGGGCTTCCTGGCTTCTTGGCCACGAAACCAAAGATCCTAGGGGTACAAAGGCAGGGTGGGGAGGGCGCTCAGCACCCTTTCCACCAAGGACTGCAGAGCCAGGGTTGGGGAGGAAGGAGGCGCCTTGATCCCATGGAGGAAAGAGGTTGCACGCATGGGGAGGCTTACTTGGAGGTGGTCCCATCAGGGTTGGTCCATCTGCAGAAGGAAAAGAACTGTGAAGGAATGCACCCCAGAGAATGGCTACTGAAGGAGGAGCTGGGGCAGGGGACTGTGGTCTATGGGGCCAGATGGGACTAAGGTGGGGCTATGGGAGGAAAGGATTGGGAGGGAGGGTCACCTCCGGTCCTGAGGGTCAGTGCTGGAGAAGGTGATGCTGTTCACTGGATAATGGCGGCGAAAGAAGAGCCTGCAAAGAGGAGGCAGGGAGTCACACCCAGAAATTGGAGCCACCAGGGACTGAGCTTGGGATTCCCCAGGGGCTTAGTATACATACTCACTTCCTTTGGTTGTCTGTCAGTGTAATACCCTGGGCTGAGACCTTGAAGTGGACAATGGCTGGTGTTGGGCGGGGGCTGCAACTTAGAGCTGCAGAGCTGGCCCGGGCCACCGCCTGGGGGCCCGTCAGTGACTCAGTCTCTACTGAGGTCAGGTAGAGCACACTGCAGGCTGTGGGGGCAAGAAGCGTGTTGGGATCATCGCCTCTGCCAGCCCCCATATCTGTCTCCTCCTAGTCCTCCCACCCCACCAGCTCTTACACTTTATCAGGCTAGTGCTGCTCAAAATGCATTAGAATTACATAGGTAATCGTTTTAAAATGCAGATTCTATGACTCCCCCAGATCTATAGTCAGAAATGCTGGGAAAGGGCCTGAGAACCTGCATTCTAACAAGTCCGGACCTTCTCCAGGATTGTCATGTTCATAAGACTTTGACAATCTGGACTGAGGGCCTCCTTTCCCACACACTACAAATATGAGGCTCCCCCTGCCTTCCTGGGTTAAAAGCATCTATCAGGGCCCACCCACCTCAAGGCCTTTCAGTGCCCCACGCCTGTATCTGCAGTGCCCCCCTTGGTGCCCAGGGAGAGGTGGAGGGAGAGGCCCCTACCGGCACCCTGACGCAGGAGGTCTGCTGCTGTGCTCATGTTGGCGGGCACTGGGGCCTCCGGGGTCTCCTCAAGAGGATCTAAGGGAAAGGAGGGCCAACAGGGAAGGTCAGCAGGGAGTGGCACTCCCTAGGAGCTGGAGAGCTCCCTCTGCCCTCCCAAGGGAAGACAGGCTGGGAGACAGGACCCCAGATCCTGCCTTTGGCTGCAGTGGGTGGGGAGAGGTGGGAGGACAGACGATGAAACACCTACCTTTGTTTGGAATGCGCAGGCAGCAGGGCAGGGACAGGGGGGAAATGGAGTGCTGGGAGACCAGGGCCGAGAGGCTGCCTGCAGTGAAATGTGAGAACCATCCTGAGGTGCCCACAGAAAGCCCCCTCTTTCCCTTCACCCTCAAGAGATCCCTTGGCCTCCCTAAACCACCCCAGTGTGGCCTCCCTGGCCTCTGCTTCTCACCAAAGTAGGGCTCACTGGGACAGCCCTTGATTTTCACGCCTTTGGGCCCAGTCTCAATGAGAAAATGGCGAACCAGCTGTTCCAAGGGGTCCCCTAGGAGGCCGGGGGAGGAGAGGAAGGCTTTATCAGATTCCAGGTTCCCGCCTTCTCCCCTGCTGGGATTCTTTCCAGAGCAGAAGAGTCCCTTTCCATTCTTCCCCACCAAGTGGCATGGCCGACCCCCCTTGTCTTGCCTGTGGACCTGCCCCATGCCACTTCCCTTCTCCCTTGGGTTTGGGCATTCTGTACCTTTCCAGGGCTGGGCACTGGGTGGGGGCGTAGCCACCTTGAGGGCCAGCCCATAGGCTCCTTGGAATGAATGACTGTCCCTGATCAGGAAGGCCCCAGGTTCCTTGTCCTTCAGCAGGGCAATGGCTGGGGGAGGCAGGAGGAGAAGTTTTCACAGCGGCTGACTGAGCCCCATGTAGCCCCAGGGCTCTGCTAGCCAGCTCTCCAGGCCTCTTGCCCTAACACCTGTGGCAGTGTTGGGCATCTGGGTACAGAACTTGAGAGTTAACAGGGCATTGACAACATTGAGTCTAAACCTCCATGGGCTAACAGCCCAGAATCACCTGCTAGTGAGAGGCTCAGCCCAGAGTAAATGCTGAGATGGAGAGGAGGCAGCAAGGGCATTGACTGGATGGCTGGACTGGGTCTAAAGCCCAGAGCCAGAGAGAGTGAGAGGGGTGGGTTGGCTCCTCACCTTGGTCACGGGACAGGTGTGGCTTATACCAGAACTTGGACGTATCCTGGACAAACTTGACGTTGCTCTGGCTCTCTTGCATGGGGGGCTCTACGACAGGGGAGGACTGAGCTTAGCCCCGGGGCCATGCCCATCCCTGGGAAAAAGGGTTCTCCCAAGGTGGCCCCACCTCCCCTCCCTCCCTCAAGGCCTTTATACCTGAGGGCTGGGGGGTGTTATCCAGGAGCTGAGGTGCAAAGGTGACATGGTGACTGGTGCCTCTGGCTGGTGGTGATGCCTGCTCTGGACCCCAGTGGCCTGGCTGTTGCCCAGGTCCTGGCAGGTGGCGTTTCTCAGGAAGTGGGGGCTGGGTGGGGCCGCTGATGTCATAGGATGCCGCCAGGGGGAAGGCAGGAGTGGGTGAGCTCTGAGGCGGCTCCGGGCTGGCCACAAGCCAGGGCATCTGGGAAGGCACAGGGGTAAGGGGGGACCCATCCGGGCTATCTGGGGGGTCTCGAAGGCCCTGCCAAGGGGCATGGCGGAGGCCAGGCAGCGTGGTGGGCACAGGGCCCCTTGGACTGGCACTGTCTGTGCGGCTCCCTGGGCTCCTCTCCTGAGGCCAGTCGTTGGGTGAACTGGGCGGGGAGGTTGGGGAGAAGGGGCTGGAGGCTGGAGGCTCAAGCCCACTTCTTGATGGCAGCTCAGGAGGCTTTTCAGCGCCTCCCTGGGATACAGGTGACAAGGCTTCGCCAGGACTCAGTCTCTGAGTGGGCACCAAGGCGGAGGACCTTGTGTCCTGCTGTCGGGTACTGTGGGGGAGGGAGGGCAGGTGGTCAGCAGGGCCTCAGAGCCCCCGTTGTAAGCTGTCCCCCACCCCCAGCATTTAGTGTCTATTTGGACAAGGAGGTACCTGCCTACCTTTCCTTGACCTGGACTGGGCTGCTGGTGTGCAGGGGTGTGGAGGGACCAGACAACTCTGAGGAGGCACTGCACTGGGCATCTCGGGGAGACCGAGGCAGAGTACTGTGCCCACTGGGGCCCTCCCTCCAGGACACTGGCTCAGGTGACTCTGCAGGGAAGGGGAGAGGAGAGGCTGTGAGCCAGGAACAGGCCTTCTGTCTGGCTTAGCTCATTCTCACTCTGTGCCTTCCCCACCATCTTCCAGAACCCTCCTCTGCCCTGGGCACTCCCCACCCCAGGGCCCCTCACCTGCAGATGTCAAGGGTCCTGCTGGAGCCAGGTGCCCAGGCAGCCGATACCTGTCCCCTCCCTCCTCTGCAGGGATCTCGTAGCTCAGCTTTCTGGATGATGGGTAGGGCGGGCTGCCCGGGGAAATGGAGCCAGCCCGTGGGGAGTGGGCACCGGGGCTGGGATATCCTCTGCCCTCGCCTGGAGACCCGCAGCTGTGAGGCACCCGGCCATATGCTGGGCAGTAACTGGGAACTGCTCCTCCATAGCCGTATGTCACCAGGGCAGGGTAGCCTGGATGCCCATACCTGCTTTCAGGGCACATGGCGTAGGAGCAGCCCTCATGCCCTTCCTCTGCCTTGGGTGGCTTCAGGCAGCTGTAGTCAGGCATTGGGGCATGGTGATGCCCGCAGGCAGGCAGCAGCAGGGGCAACGGGTGCCCGGGCCGCACTGGGTGCAGGAGAGACTTGCTGGCCTCGCTTGCCCACCCCTCTCCAGCCTCTCTCTCCAGTCGAAGCCCATACAGGGCTGTTGTGGGCAGCGCCAGCTTCTCCTCACAGGCAGGGCAGGAGCATAGGGCAGGCAGCCCAGGGTCCTCCAGAATCACCACCTCCCGGTAGCCTGGGGAGCGGTAGCCAAAGTCCCCACTGGCCGGTTTCCCTGGCTCAGGGGAATAAGGGTATGGCCCCTCGGACAGCGATCGGCAGAGGCGCCTCTTCTCCACTGAGGCCTCGGCATAGACCTGGGCAGGCCCCTCGTAGCCCCCGTAGGCCAGCCGCCGCCTCTCCAGGGTTCCCTCTGGCCGGTAGTATCCCCCATTGGGAACCCCAAAGGGTTCCCGGTAGCCCTGGCGGCAGGAGCAGTGGCGGCTGAGGGCAGGTTTGTGGCCCGAATATGTTCCGAGATGGGCGCTTCCTCCCACAGGGGGCTGCTCTTCGTCATCCAGGATGGCTGTCTCACGCCCAGCCCCCCGGCCCCCGCTGGCCACTCCACAGCCTCCCAGGAGGCGATCTAGCTCCTGTCGCTCAGCAGCCGTTGGGGGTGGCCGGCCAGGGGACTCTGCAGCTGGCTCCGTGGTCAGCGTGGATGAATGGCCCGAGTCGCTGCTGATGGACAGCAGCGGGGGTGGGGGCGGCTCTGGAGAGGGTGCTGGTGGGGTCTGGCGAGGGGTCCGCTGCACCTGGGCATAAGGACTGCCATCTACGGGGCCACGGGTGTGGGTCAGGGAGCCTGAGTGGAGAGGATTGGGGAGGGCAGGTAGGGAAAAGAAAGTGAATGAGAGGGGACAGTGCTGGAGAGTTCAGCTCAGGGGGTGTGTCTTGGGACGGGGATCTGCCTGGGGAGGAAGGCGTGTGCCCCAAACCTCTACCTCCCACACCACCACTCCCGGGCCTGCCACACACCGTCCACACTGTCCTCATGGTGCTGGTTGAAGTTCTCGTAGGAGTCCCAGCGCACAGCAGGCTCTGCGGTGTTGTAGTCAACAGTGACCGAGGGGTCGTTCCGTGGGGTGTTTCCTGTGAAAGGCCAGGTGGTGAGGAGCAGCGAGACAGCCTTCAGCGCCGCCGACCCCAGGCCCTGCTCTTACCTTTGATCTTCTCGGGGCTGGAGGAGAAGATGAATTCGACCGAGGCTTGGAAAGGGAACCTCTCATCTGTGAGGAGTGTATAGTGAGGAGCCAGGTCCCCCTCCTGCCTGCCCGCCCTCACCTGGGGTCCAGCCCCCATACCACTTGTCTCTAACTCACCAGTCCAGGCTTCATCCAGCTGGTCTTTGGGAAAGGTGAGCCGTGATCCGTGGATGGTGCACGTGTGGAACTGGACTCGGAATACAAGGGTCCGGTCTGTCCCCCGGCCACCCTTGTGATAGCATGTCACCTGGGTGAGGGAGACTGGGGTCAGGCCCTCATGTCTACTTATACCTCCTCTGTGCTTCCAGCCTGTTGACTGCCTGGCCAGAGCTCTGCCCTGCCTCAATCTCAAGGTGACCCCCATCTAGGAGACTCCCTTTTCACCCTCCAATCTGGACTGAATTCATGATTCACCAGAGATTGTGCTGCTGGCAGAAGATAACACCACCCGCTGCCTCATCCCCAAGACTCCCCTTGTTGCCAAGGCCCCCTCACCATGACATCGCCTTTGAGAAGGAGGGCTGGCTCCAGGCTGATGCAAAGTTGCTGGGGACCTGGGCCTGCAATGTGACTGTGGAAGAGAGGAAGAGGCAGAGCTGAATCAGAGGCCCTCAGGTTCCGGGGTGGCTGTGAAGAGTCAGGAGGGAGCTGGGAGCTGGGAGTCTGAGCCCAGAGTGAGAGAGACCTTTAGCTGAGCCTCAGCGTCCCCATCTGTAAAATGGATTCTGTGGTGGTATTAGTTTTCAGGTATAGTGGCTGGAGCTGGAGGTCCAGGTGTCTGGGGAGGCTGGAGAAACAACTCCAGGGAGCAGGGGCCTGGGAACACAGCACTCACTAGATTCCAGATGTGTAGACGAGCTGCATGGACTGATAGATCTTAAGGAAGGGCTGGAAGCCTGGAGGGAAAAGAAGGCACATGAGGGGTGCTGAGTGGAGGGGGTGAGGGACAGACCCCCCTTGAATACTTCCCAGGTGGACTCACCTGTGCCAGGTTCAAAGGCTGGCAGCATGGGCACGAGCACATAGTGTAGGAAGAGAGGGCTGCTGTTCATTCTGATGGAGCCAGACAGCAGACCACTGAAGTAGCTGATATATCTGGTGGGGGATATGTCAAGGAGAACATAAGCCCCTTCCTCTGGAGGTCCCCTTGTATCATTTCAACGGTGCACCCTTGGAAGGCCTGCGCTTCTCAGCACTTCCTTCCCATTCAAGCCACCAGAAAGTTCTTCCTTGCATCTAAGCTCAATCCTTCTTGCTGCCTCAAAGGTTTTGTACTTGCTGCCTCCTTTGCCTAGAATGATCTTCCCCCAGACCTTTGTCTCATGTTATAGACACAGGTCCTGACTCTCTTCTTTATCATAAGACTCAGCTTTATTTTATTCATAGCATTTGTCATCATCCAAAATGACCTTGTCTATTTATTGCCTTCTATTCCACTAGAACGTAAGCTCCACGAGAGCAGGGACCTTGTTTGTCCTGAATTCTCAGCACTTGGCATAGTGCCTGGCACATTGAAGGTGCACCATTAAGGTGTGCTATGTGAATGAGAAAAACTTGGCCTTGGTAGCCATGGAGGAAGCTGCTCCTACGGCCCATCCTTCCCCTACCCCCGGCCCCCCCACCCTCCAAGGCTGCTCACCGGCGCTGGGAGGGCTGCAGCTCTGTGGCCACCTTGTCCTCGCAGAACTTCCGCATGGTAAGAGTGGCCAGTGCCTGGTCTGCCCTGGGGAGAGTAGAGTTAGTGTGGGGGATGAGAAGCTGGTCTCCCTTCTGGTCTCCCATTCCTAAGCCCCAGGGGAGAGGTGAGAAGGGTGACCCCCCCCCCAAGTCTAGAGGAAGCCTAGAGTGGTGGTAAAGAGAACTAGAAACCCCATGTACAGTCACTTCACTAGTTGTTGGACCTCAGGCAATTGTTCCCTGAGCTTATTTTCCTCATCTGTAAAATGGGGCAATAAGACCATGTTATGGGTTGAATCGTGTCCCCCCAAAAATATATGTACCTCAGAATGTGACCTTATTTGGAAATAGGGTCGTTGCAGATGTAATTAGTTAAGATGTCATACTGGAGTAGGGTGAGCCCTTAATCCAATATGATTGGTGTCCTTAGAAGAAGAGAAGAGACACAGACACACAGACAGGAAGAAAGCCATGTGATGATGGAGGTAGAGATTGGAGTGATGCAGCTGCAAGCCAAAGAGCATCAAGGATTGCCAGCCACCACCAGAAACCAGGCAGAGGCAAGGAAGGATTCTACCCAGAGTCCCAGAGGGATACCTTGATACCTTGCTGGGATACCTGCTGATACCTTGATTTTAGACTTTTAGTCTCCAGAACTGAGACAATAAATTTCTGTTGTCTTAAGCCACTTTAGTTTCTGGCACTTTGTTACAGCAGCCCCAGGAAACTACTACAGATCATCTGCTGGGAACTGTGGTGAAGTTCAAGTGAGGAAAAGGAGGTGGCAAAGTCAAGTTTATAGTAGATGGCTCTATGAACACAGAGGTGGGCCTCATGGGAGATGGCGCCTCAAAGACCAGCTGGAGGAAGGGCCGTTGGGGAAGGGGACACTCAGACAGGCACAGGGGAGCCTCACCCCGCAGAGATCTTGCTGTAGTGCATGTAGGCAGAGACAATGACCCCGAGCTTACTCTTGCTCCCCTGAGGATAGAGACAGGGATTGAGGTCTGCTGGGTTCTTAGGGTGAGGGCATCCCAGCCCTGCAAACCCAAGATCCCAGCCCACCTTGCAGTACAGTACGACCACGTGCTGTGGGTCAGCACTGAGCCAGGTCTCCATGGCTTTGCAGATGGAGCACAGCTTGTCCAGGGGGGGCGCGTGCAGTTCAGGCCAGCCAAAGTCCTGGACCTGGAGGGAGGGGAATGCGGGGGTGGAACTGGGGGTGGAGGCCACGCGTGAAGAGAGATGGGCGAAAAAGGGACAGGGTGTAGGGGTCTGGGGCAAGGTCAGCTTGTTGGCTGTCCACAACAGCCTCAACACTTTTCTCACTTGTACCATGTGTTGATACCTGATGCACCCATGCTTTGGGGTGTCTCAGGTATATGCCATATGGGAAAGTGCTGAAGAGTGAAGTAGATGCCAATTGCCACTATTAATAAAAAGGTGGCTGGGGGCTTCTGGGGTGGGGGTGATTTGGTTGAATGGCTTTAATCCCCTCCTACCTTGGGGTTTAGGCGGGTCAGGTCATGTCTTTTCTCTGAAAGGTTGAAGAGCTGCAAGAAAAAAGGGGGCTTTAGACGGAAGTGACCTCAGGCAGCGAGGCTGGTGGTGAGTGGAGGTGGTGTCACCCGCAGTTATCCTGCATCTTTTTCCAAAATGAGGAGGTTGCTAAGGACCTGCCCAGCTGTGAAAACCGGATCGTCTACGCTCCAGGTCAGTTCCAGAGGTGCTTCGGAGCCCCGCCCCCAGCCCCGCCTTCGAGGGTCTGACGTCAGGGAGCAGCCTGGCTCATCTGGAACTCCCAGCCCTCTTATTGGCTGACTGCGGCAGGCCCCGCCCCTCACCAGGTATTTGTCGCGGTGCTTGGATTGAAGCACGTGAGCCAGCTCGCGCAGGTGGCCCCGGTGTCGCTGCTCGTCGGGCCGCGCAGGGAAGGCGGCGGCCAGGATCCGCTCAGTCACGTAGGTGAGGTCCAGGTCCCAGCGACGCTCCATGAGCGGGTCCAAACTGAAGCTCCTGAGAAGGGGCGAAGCCTGCGTAAGGAACGGAGGGCTGGGGTGCCGGAGGGGGCCCTTGTGATGCAAGGGTGTCTGGCCGACTGCAGGTGAAGCCTCGTGGATCCTGAGGGTGGGTGGGATCACTTGGGGGGCGGGCTTTCCCAGAGAACTTTGTTGGGGGGCACTGCACTGGACTGAGGTGTGGGGACGGCGGAAAGGGCTCGTGCGGGACCACCCCCGGCACCCTCACTTACCTGGGCAGAGTGCTGCGCTGCTTTGAGTGGTTCAGAGACTTGGTGGATCCCTGGTGGATGACATGATATAATGAGCATCTCTTTGGGTGCTCGCCCCCTCGCTAGGCTCCCTATTCCAGAGTTCCATGAACTTCTGTTCTCAGAAGAAACCTAGGTCCTTACTTCCAGAGCTACCTGTTGCCGCCCCCCTCCTCCAGCATCACCTTACCAGGTGCTCTATGCGCCTCACCGGGGCCGTGTTTCTCCGCTAGAGGGAGATGGGGGAAGAAAAGGGAGTGGTTAGGGCAGGGGCTGGGACCAGACTGGGCCTGGGGATAGTGGAGATAGCCTGCCCGTGTCCCTGAGAGGGATGTACTGGGCAAGGAAAGGAGAGTCGTAGCCCTCAGCCGGCCCAGAGAACAAGAGCAAAGGGCTCAGACATTTTTTCCCTCTCCTTCCGGATGACCAATATCAACGGCAGTACATTCAAGGTAACCTCCTGGGGGTGCCCCCCTCAGACCTTTGGACACCTCAGCCAGGTTCCTTGCCTCCCTCACCCCATCCCAGAGCACACTCACCAGCTCTGCGGGAGGCAAGGCCTGGCAGGATGAAGTTACCTGGAAGGAGACCAGAGTAAGGGGCTAAGCTCCTGGTGAAATGGGCTCTCCTGGGCTTAAGGATGGGGCCACCCCTTAGCTTCAGCAAGAAGGTGAGGGGTTGTCAGGAGATGGGCACAGGCTCCAGCTGAGGTTCCTCTATTTAAGGGAGCCTCCCCTCTGGCCTCTCGGTCCCCCACCCCCATGCCCCCCATTTGTTGCTCTTGGCTCCCAGCCCTGTGCCCACACAGACCCCCATTCATCCAGCTACAGGGCAGGAGTTATATATAGAGCCATGCAGGCAGGCCATGGCCAGGGACGGACACTGGCCTCTTTCACCGGGAGACCCCGCCCCTGGGCACACAGCTCCTCAAAGCCAGCTCCAAAGCCCTGGGAACCCCCACACTTCAGGAGGGGGACCAGGGGACCTCTTCAGAGATGGGGCCGTCTCAGGTCCCCAGTGGACAGTGGGTGCTATCTATAGTTTGTACCTTCTGCCCAGCCTCTCCAGGGCCCAGGACAAGACCCACCCAGGCATCCTGAGGCCCCTTCCCCAGAGGGAAGGCACAGCCCATCCGGCTGCCCTGTCTCTGAAATCCTGCTCCCCCATCCACCCACCCACCCCACCCTTCCTCCTCCTCATTCTCCTCCTCTTCCCTACCCCCACCCTCTCTCGCCAGCTGCAGCCTGGGCACAGCACCAAGACAAACGCGCTGTCGCTGTCTAGCTGTCCACACGCCTGGGCCAGCCCTCCAGGGGGTGGAGTAGGGTGGTTCTTAAAGGGCCCAGAACCTCTCCTATCCCAGCAGGGGTTCCCTTGGGTGGAGAAAACTGTTTCAGAGGAGGAAGGGACCCCAGTCCCCCTCCCTCCATCAGGTACCCACCTTTGCTTCACATTTTCTGTGCGTGGCCACCTTGCAGACTAGAGAGGGATAGGGGGAGGAGGGGTTAGCAGGGGCCTACTGGGGCAGTGGAGGGGTGGCCCTCTCCCATCTCCCAGGCCCTGGAACCAGACCCTGGGACTTCTAGGACACCAGCTGTATTGAGGTGGAGTGGGGGAGCAGGGTCAGAGAATGACAGTGGGGTACTACTGCCCAGGCCAGGCCAGGAGGGAACCAGGGTAATGTTCTAGGGTGGGTGGGGGTGAGGACGAAGGGAGGGAGGGAGGGAAGGCATTGGAAAGTACTGGATCTCCTGGGTTGCTGAGGTGTTTGTCAGGGGAAGCAAGGGCTGTTTGGAGGGAGGCAGCTGCCTCTTGGCTCCCGTGTTGCCCAGTCCAGGGGCAGCATGCACATTACGGTTTATGTTTTGTGTGTCTGCCCGCTGGAGTTGTACAACCCAGTGGTGCTGGGCAGAGGCTCTCAGTCACAGAATAGGGTGCCTCACCTCTGCAAGAGACGCCTGTCCCATCGATGGTCACCTTACACACTGCACAGACTGGTGGTTTCTTCCGGAAAACCTTCTCCCGGAAGCTGTGCGGCTCAGCTTTCCTAGGCTAGGTAGGGGTGGAGGGACAGAGACACAGACAGAGGTATCTGTTGCCAGCGGGCTCATCTTGGGACTGGGCCAGGGCCTTAGCACTGCACTGGTTCCTTTCTTCCTCCATCCTGATTAAAATCCCCAAACGATTAATGTCCCCAAACTCGTAGGACACTTGGCCACTGCTGTTTCCGGCCAGTTGTGGGGGCTGTCCTCGACAGTGCATGGAATCTGGCCTCTTGCGTCACCCTCACTGGGTCAGCTCCTCCCCAAGGGATCACTTGGGCCCCTCACGTGGCTCTGGTGTGTGATACCCTTGTGGTCACTGCTACCCCAAACACAAGAGCTTTCCTCCTGATGGGGGGGTGGGTACTCTCTGATTCTTCTCTATGAGGGGCCCCCCCTCTCCCGTTTCTCCTTCAATTTTGTCCTCCCCAGATGGAGGCCCAAGTGCAGAGTGAGCAGCAGGGGGTCCAGACAAGAATGTACGAGGTCAGTCACACAGCACCCAGACTGACCAGTGGGAGTGGCCTCAGCCAGTCCTGATCCCCTGGCTCCTGCTGTCCTCGCTCTAGGCAGCTGACATGCCTTCCTCTCCCCACCCCCCCACCCCCAAGAACAACATGTTTACTCATTGTGCACTGAGGCGGCAGGCAGCAGTTGTGTAAGGAGGTGGGTGGGAATGCTGGAGGGGGAGGCAGAGGCATGACATTGGAGAAAATATCTAGCTGTCTTGCTACTTCTGGATGTAGTGAGCACCCTGTCATTTGAGGACATTGAAGTGGGGATTCCAACATTGAATGGGGCTGGGGGGTGGTCCACATGTTGTGTCCGGCCCCTCCCTACCCAGAGGTGCAGTGAGGCAGGAGGCTGGGATGCCCCCTTAAGTTAAGGCCCAGGCCTACTTCATAGCATTCGCATCCCTCCCACTGTGGTTCACTTCTCCCATCTTGTCTAGGGACCATTTTTGCTTCCTTGCCTCCTCTCATCTACCCATTTTTCTCCACCTCTGAAGTTCAATTTCCTGCCCCACCCCCCTTCTATAGTATTGTCTCGCGTTGCCCTGAGCTGCTGCTTTTGGGGTAAGGCTGAGAAAATGTGGGGAAAGGAAGTGATGGGGCCTCCAGGCCCCCCAGCCTGGGGACCCAGGCAGCACCTCTGGTCTCTTGGCTATCTGTCCCTGAAGCAGCAAGATTAAGCCAGCAACTGAACTCTCCTGCGCTGGACCAACCGTGCTGGACCCACTAGGAAACTTGGGTATCTAGCATGAATGGCATACACTGATGATGTCGGCGGAGAGCAAACCCCCAATGTCTAAGGCACTCCTGAGACCTGGCTTCCTCCCTCCCTTCCTTTGCCACCCCCCCCACCCCCAATTTTCCCCAAAATTCTTGGCTCAGGGAAGGTGCCTGATCTCTTAGCCCTGCTCTGGGGCTCCAGGATGGTACCCAAAAAGGTCCTACAATGAAATATACCTGGACGTAGGTGTAGGGAGCCAGGACCCCCAGGGTTGGTATGGGCTAGGGCAGGAGGTGATAGAGGAGCCAAAACAGACACCAGGTTCTGCTCAAACCCAAACTTCTGCGGCGCATACCACAGCCCTGGCCACCCCAAAGAGGCAGAGTAATGAGGGGATGTAGGGCAAAGGGAGAAGGCTGAGGGGGAGGGTCTGGCCTGTATCCTGGCCCCCTCCCCCACCTCCACCCCTGCTCCTTCTCTACCCAGCTGGTGGGCACTCCTACCCTGCTGGTGGCCCGGCTGCTGTCCCTCCTCCCCAGGGCTCTGAGCAGCCTCTCCACGGGGCCGCTGGACTTCATGGTGTCCGGCTGGCTTGGGTGCTGGCTGCGGGGCCCGAACAATGCTGGGGCCTGGCCCGGGGCTTCCTGGAAGCAGCCTGGCGGAGGCAGCCGCTTCCCCTGGGTGGAGGGTAGGCTGTCTGGCTGGTGTGAGGAGAAGCCCAGCCCTGGAAGCGGAGGGGAGTACAGGCGGGAAGGGGGCAGGTCGCTGCTCCAGGAAGTGGGGGGGAGGATGTGGCGGAGGCCAGGAGATCAGATTCCCAGGATCTACCCTGCTGCGAGTGTCAGCCCAGGATCTTTTGACCCCACGCCCCTGCTCTGGAGCTGCCCCATGCCCAAGGATCCACCCCATCCAGGGATCTGCTGGGAGCCTGAGATCCAGCCCCCAGTGGGGCGGGGCAGGGTGGGGGCAGGGTGGGAATTTAGGTCTCAGGGCAGGGCTCAAGGGCCAGTGGGGAACACCGTGTCCTGGCCTGGCCAGCCTCCCAGCCTGAACTCTTAGGCTCTCTGGGGACTTCTAGTGGGGAGCAAGGGGAGCTGGGAGTCACAACCCCAGTCAGCCCAGGATTTCCCTGAGGGTCAGGGAAAAGGGGACTGAAGGCCAACTTCCTGCCTCAGTTTCACTGGTTGTGAAAGGAAGAAAAGGAAAACATGCACATCTCCCCGCTCCCCGCCATTCACACTGGAAGGCACATTCCAGCCAGAAAACTGCTTTGCCCACAGGAGTGATCCATTCTCCTTCCAGCCCAAGGCCATTGGAGGCCCTTCTGAGAGCCTACAGCTGCTCAGCTCCTGACACAGTCCCGTATGCACTCATTCCCTGGGCTTGTTTCTGCCTAACCTCTTAGATCCCTAGCCCCTCTTTGGAGCCCTGTCACTTAGGCCCTCCATAGGCCCTGGGGCTGCCCTCCTCCCCAAAAGCCTAAGTACTACCTTCATGGCTTTCCTGGCTCTGCTCTCCTTCCTCAGCAGCTGTCCCAGGACCTGAGGACTGGACAGGAGCCCCCCCCTCCCAACATATACTCCTCCCCACTCCATGGGCCTCCTGCCTCCCTCCTGGGAACATGGCCAACTTCCTGTCCCGCAAGTCAAGGGAAGGAGGAGGTGGATTGGGGCCTTGGAAAGGGGGGTAGTAATCTTCCGAAAATGTAAGGGGTTAATGGCCTGAGGGTCCTCAGCCCCAAGCCTTGGACAGCAGCCCCTTGGAGCAGCAAGAGCTGTCACTTGAAAGAATGTGCAAATATGCCCCCCTCATTTGCATGGTATTTACTGAATGTCCCAGAGCTCAGGCAACTCCCCCAGCTCTGGCATCTCCCACCAGGTCCTTAGACTTCCCTCTCCCTCCCTCCTGCCCTGCCTCCTCTGGGATGAGCCACCTTTTGGGAGCTCACTCAGGACCCTTCCCTGGAACTGCCTGGGCTTCTCCCTTGACGCTCTAATTCTCCTAGCAGGTCAGGAAGTCTGTCCCCAGGGTACCTTGGCCAGAGGGAGGCATCTGTGTGAAAAAGCCTGGGCCCCTAGCCTGTAACTGGAGAGGGGCACTGGCTCTGCAACCCACTCCCAACCCACCAGCTCTGGCTGGGTCCCAGGACATTCCAGGCCCCTGGCCAGTGTGGGCAACTGGGCCTGGTGTCCAGTCCCCAGCCCTGCTGGGGGGAGGAGGGGCACTGTGGTAGGTTGGGTGGCCTTTCTCTATTCCTATTGCGCATACCCTGACCTGGACCCCTCCAGCATGCTTCTTTCTACTCCTGCTGCCTCCAGAGGAGCTGAAAGTCCCCTCACTTAGCAGTCGCCCTCATCCTCTGACCCTCACTCTTCTCCTGGGAGGCTCACTAACCCCTGTGTTGGGTGGCCAGGGAAGCATGGCTTTGAGACCCTTCCCACCCTTTGGGACACCTCTGAGGGAAGATGGAGATAAGCGTGCTGCTCCCTCAGCCGGTGCTGAGAGGAAAAGGAGCTCACTGGGGCAGGGCTGGGAAGGCATGGCCAGACCCCCAAGGACCCTCGCCCTCCTGCCTAGAACATTCCAGAGCCTGTCAACCTCTCCCCCAGGCTGGCCCCCTCACACTCCGAAGCCTTGGGTTTGTTTGGAGAAACCCCTCCACCCACACTCCCCCTTCCTGGAAATAGCTGTGGTTGGATGAGAGTCTGGGAGCCCGGCCGCCACGGAGGAGGGGTGAGGCCCAGCGAAGGAGAGAGGGAGGAAGGCGGGGTACATGGGTGTGCCCAGAGGGAGCTGGAGAATTGAAAAGTAGCAACACAAGGGGGCCGAGGAGTGGGCTGGAAAGTCAAATAAGCCTCATCTGTTCCCGCTTTCTGCCTCAGTTTCCCCAGATGTTTAGTAGAAAAGGAAAAGACTCAGGCGCACTCCCAGGCCAGTGCTCGCGCGCGGCCGCCTGTTCCCGCCCGCTACAGGGCCTGCGTGTGGGGGAACGTGCCCCACGGTACTCGAGGAGCGGCGTCCGGTGCGGGGCGCGCGCGGGTGCGTGACGGGAAGGAGCAGCACCGTGCCTGCGCAGCGTGTGCGCACCAGGACGAGCGAAGGCGTGACGGCCCCAACTAGAGTGTGACCACGGCCTGCGCCCCGCCCCCTGGTCACCTTCCCAGCAGCCAGCTGTCCCAGCTTGCCGGGGCCCGCCAGATCTCCGATCACCGACCCCCAGCCCCGTGCCCGCCCCGCTCCCCCTGGAGCCCCGGCGGCCCCACGCCCCCTGGCGACCGCCCCCGGCACTGCTCCTCGGCCGTGACGCACAAGCCGCCGCCCTCCC